AGACTTGACCGCAACTTGTGGCCTTCGGGCTTCATGTCTTAGTTCGTGTCCAGCCACCCCTACGGTCTTCGCCCTCCCAGCCCGTCCCATCCTTCCGACGGGCCCTGTCACACAAGCGTTTCGATTAACGCGCGCTCGGGTGGGGGTCAGATGGACCCCCGAAGGTTTTTCCGGAATGGTTTCCGAATGGCGCGGCGTAGCCGCGCCAACTTTTAATGGTTGTAGACGATTGAGTAGCGGATCGTTTGCTATCACAAATTTAGATATACCTTGTAAGGTCGCTGACCTACGGCGGGTCAAAGGCAAGCCATGGATTTAGCAGTCAATTCTAGAGAATCGTCCAATCTGATGCAACCACGGAGTGTTAAACAAAGTCACACACCTCGTATATACTTTCTTAGGGCAACAGAATAATTGAATCAATAAACTGCATTGGCCTTGGACCAGGTATGAAGGTCAGGTTAAGATTAAAACCAACCCGTTTTATAACCCCATGGCTTGCTGATGGGTTAGTTTCTGGTGCTCGTTTAAAATGTATTGATAACAGGAACCGCATTATACATCCTCAGTGGACTTCATTAAGGTCAGAATAGGTCACTGATCTGAAATGACCCAGGTTGACATTTCGTTTTTTAGGAACGTACTGCCTAGTGTGATCTTTGTCGCTTATTCATATGCAGAGCTCAAAGCAGTCTTATACGACTCTTGGTCACCATGACCTTCAGAAGATCAAACAAGGTCACTGACCATAAATGAGCATGTGAACTTTTGCTTGGAACAGGTATCTAGGTTCTGAATGTACTTTGGAGACCAACCAAGAGTTTGACCTTGTTTGGCCTCATCTGACTACTTATTTGACGCAGGTCATTACCTAGGAACCTCAAAATTTGACCTAAGTGAGTTCACGTACGAGCCAGCACATCCTATGAATTTGGTGTCCGTAGCTCTCTTAGTTTCTGAGGCCTCAGGGGGTCAGATTGACCCCCACACCCGAGCGAAGGTTATCCAACAGGCCACCCGGGCGCGTGTTAACCCCGGCCAGACCTGCTTATCTCCGCCCGTCTCCGTCTGTTCTGGTCGTCGCCGTCGTCTCCTTCCTTCGCCGCTCCCCGCGGGGGCCGTCGGGCCCGCTCCGCCTTCCTTCCTTCCTGCTGCCGGACGCGGAGCTCGCGAGAACAACCGCCTGGCAGACGTCAGGGCTGTTAGCGCCGCCGGCGTCCCTGGGCGGGCAGAGCGCCGGGCCGGCCTCCTCCGGCGTCGTCGGGCTTTGTCCGGGCTCCCCGCGGTCCGAGCGGCCGTGATTGGGTGGTGCCGATCAGCAGCAGTGCGTGAATGGACGTTTTCTCCCCGTGATTGGCCTGGTGAGGGGAACGAGCCGTAGAAATGGGAGGTGGTCGCTGTCGGCGTGGGATGAGCGACCACCTCACGTAGGCGCCCTTGAAGGACATGCGGTTGAACAGACGCTAGACTTGAGCAGGCACTGCTATTTAGTTTTAGTTCTTCTATTACCCGTCCACTTAAAGAACCCGCTTTCAGACGCTTACGTTGAAGTCACTGTGCAGACCCACAAACCGAACTTCCAGTGACTGATGCAGGCATGATTGCCTTCGTATTGTCCTGACACAGCAAGTGCTGATTTATAAAGGAGTTGCCAAGAGATGTTCTGGATCGGATGGAATGTACTTGATTCTGCCGAACGTTGAGCCAGGACGTGTCCCAACGCCTGACGTTACCGCTCGCTGTTGTCGGGGGTCCGGTGGCGCCGCCTCCTGCTGAAATCAGAGCGTCCACTGGCGCCCGACACGAGCCATGCCGAGCGCGGCGGTGTGGACAGGGACGGCTGGACTGGAGCAGTGCAGACAGCTGGCGGTGTGGGCCCCGTGAGCAGGGACGGCTGGACTGGAACAGCGCAGACAGTCGGCGGTATGGGCCCCGTGAGCAGGGACGGCTGGACTGGAACAGCGCAGGCAGTCGGCGGTGTGGGCCCCGTGAGCAGGGACGGCTGGACTGGAACAGCGCAGACAGTCGGCGGTGTGAGCCCCGTGAGCAGGGACGGCTGGACTGGAACAGTGCAGACAGCCGGCAGTGTGGGCCCCGGGAGCAGGGATTGCTAGACTGGAACAGTGCAGACAGCCGGCGGTGTGGGCCCCGGGAGCAGGGGCGGCTGGACTGGAACAGTGCAGACAGTCGGGCAGGCGGTGTGGGCCCCGGAAGCAGGGGCGGCTGGACTGGAACAGTGCAGACAGTCGGGCAGGCGGTGTGGGCCCCGGGAGCAGGGGCGGCTGGACTGGAACAGTGCAGGCAGCCGGCGGTGTGGGCCCCGTGAACAGGGACGGCTGGACTGGAACAGTGCAGGCAGCCGGCGGTGTGGGCCCCGTGAGCAGGGGCGGCTGGACTAGAACAGTGCAGACAGCCGGCGGTGTGGGCCCCGTGAGCAGGGACGGCTGGACTGGAACAGTGCAGGCAGCCGGCGGTGTGGGCCCCGGGAACAGGGACGGCTGGACTGGAACAGTGCAGGCAGCCGGCGGTGTGGGCCCCGGGAACAGGGACGGCTGGACTGGAACAGTGCAGGCAGCCGGCGGTGGGAGCCCCACAGCTCCCGACCAATCACCTCCACGCCCGGGAATCCTGCGACCCGCCCCATGGAAGATTTCCTTGTGATTGTGCTCGCATCGGCCGATTAAATGACCTCTGACCTTTCGCGCGTCGCTGGAAGTCACGTGGTCTGGTGCGACGACAGGTGACTCGGCAATTGGCTTGGGCCATCCCGCTTCTACATCTTGATCACTTGGAGAGGACTAGTGCAATGACCCGGATTGACGACAATTTGCTGGTAGAGGCATCGTTCTGGCCGCAGTGATGGAGCGGCCCACTTCATCGTCGATAAAGCGGGCCGTTGGTAATTTGAAATGTGAACTTAAACCTAAGTTAATGCAGGACAAACTGTCGTGGTCGGTGATCATTTACAGCTATCATCCTTAGGGCAGAAGCACGGTCTTAAATGATAGCTCGCCGGAAGTTCCCGCGAGCACATTTGTACTTTTGGTTGGGGATGACCATCAGAGACATCCCAGCACACTGCGGATATTTTAATTCGTGGATGTCCATGTCGGACTCTGGGCGTCGCTCGTGTGTTCGGTGATGCACTCAAGTCACCACGACTTGCCATGGGGGAAGGCCTGACCGTCGCGATTTTGTGACCCCTACACACCTCCCGGCCGCCCCTGCGTCATTGCGCCGCACCCGCCGTGACCCGCGACCGGGCATACGCGGCCGCCGCTGGCGCCGACGGACCACCGTCGGCACCGATGGACCACCGTCGGCACCGGTAAACCACCGTCGGGACCGACGGACCACCGTCGTGACCGGCGGACCGCCGCCGGTGCCGATAGACCATCATCCGCTTCGACAGACCATCGTCGGGACAGGCAGACCCCCGTCGGGCCTGACAAACCGCCGCCGGCACCGATAGGCCGCCGTTGGGACCGACGAACCGCCGCCGGCACTGACGGACCACCGTCGGGGCCGACACTTCAGCTCAGCCGCGCCGTAGCTCACACGGAATCGGGGTCGCCGTCTGGCCGGGCGGCCGATTGCGAGTTACGACCGGTCGGCCCGCGCCCCGGCGGCCGTCGGTCAGCCTTAGCGTCGGGCCGCCGGTCAGCATCAGCGTCGGGCCGCCGGTCAGCATCAGCGTCGGGCCGCCGGCCAGCATCAACGTCGGCCGGTCAGCCTCAGCGTCGGGCCGCCGGTCAGCATCAGCGTCGGGCCGCCGTTCAGCTTCAGCGTCGGCATCAGCGTCGGGCCGTCGGTCAGCATCAGCGTCGGGCCGTCGGTCAGCATCAGTGTCGGGCCGTCGGTCAGCATGTCGGGCCGTCGGTCAGCATCAGTGTTACCAACCTCAGCCAGAGCGGCGAACTTGTCCGGCAGAGGGGCGGGCGGGGGGGGGGGGGGGCTCTGCCTTCGGGGCCGCGGCTGCGCAGCCGATCGTTCGGTGGACGCTCGACGTCGGGGGATTTCAGCCGCCGGGCCTGTGGCGGCCGTTAAGTGACCCGCCCGTCGTGCTGCCGGGGATAAGCAGGCGCTTAAGCGTCGTCAAATGGAGTGGAGTCACGTTCGCGGCGCCCCTGGCGGTGTCCGGAATTGAAATGGTGTAGCCTTTTAGACTGCCCTCCGTGGGGGGGGGGGGGGGGGGGGGGGAGGGAAGAGGGGAGTGAGCTTTTGCCATGACCGCTTTGCGCTTCGCCGCTTTGCCGACGGTTTGCCCTTAAGCTCTTGGTTGATCGAGAGATGGGCGTCAGCGGCACTGATATGTGGAAGCGTTTGCCGCTAGCCTTTTGAATTAAGGACGTCTTCGGCCTAGCTCATTAACGTAGTTCACATGCAGCACAAAATGCAACGCAATGTTTCCGGGAAAGAAACGGAAGTGCCACCTGACAGGCTGGCAGCCCTTGCACCTGTGTGTGGCGGCCGTGCTGGCGGAGGGCGCTGTTGAGCCCTGCCCGGGGCTGGCCCACCCCGACCCCGACCCCGGCCCGGCCGCCGAGGCCGGCCGGGCCGCCAGCACCGACGCCGTATCACTCCCATCGTGCAGATGCGATCGGCCCGACCCGTGCCGTTGAGTCGCTCTCGGCGGCGCGCGCGTGATTTATCGGCGTGGGTTGCGTCGCGGAGCCGGTCCCACCGCCCCCACCGGTCCCACCGCCCCCGCCGGTGCCGCCGCCCCCGCCGGTGCCCCGGGTACCCTCAGACGACCTGCCCGACGGCGGGATGAGTTCGCCCCGCGCTGTCGCCTCCAGACCCCCAGACTGAGGCGATTGGCAAGAGCTTGTGTAACCGCTGTGGGCCGTGCTCAGACGTCTGCATTTCTGTGTATTGCGCCGTCCCGTGCGTGCGGCAGTGCTGTGTCACGTCGTCCCATGCGTGCGTTAGTGCTGTGTGTCACGTCGTCCCATGCGTGCGTTAGTGCTGTGTGTCACACCGTCCCATGCGTGCGACAGTGCTGCATCGACGACTCGGAGGCCATGATGGCGGTGCTGCTGGACCACGGCGCCAACGTGAACGCCGAGGACAGCGAGCGGTGGACGCCGCTGCACGCGGCAGCCACCTGCGGCCACCTGCACCTGGTGCGACACCTGGTGGAGAGGTCAGTCGGCGCCGCTGGCCAGGTCACGCACGGCCGCGCTCTGTGACTGGCTAGCTTTTGATGGTGTGGTCTCATTAATTGGGGCTGGTTGTTGTGTGCCGCTGTCAGGACCTGATTGTTTTGTCCGTGCAAAAGTTAGCTTTGTCCTATCTGACGTGCATAGATCAGAAAAAGGTGAGTAATGTAATGAACGCCCAGAGAAAGACGTGGCCGCGCGCCGTGGTCTAACCAACGATTTCAAAATCACTGAATGCCTCTCGTGAGCATCATAGCATGTTTGACGTTGCCGGGCGCGCGCTTAACGCCACCTTTAGTTGCCCCGATGATCCCACGTAACGGAGCGCTTATCGCGCGACCAATGACAGTCGTGGCAGTGGTCGGTCTGATCGCGGGTGGCCGTCTGTCCTCGGCGAGGGATGAATGTTGGTGGCTGGGCTATACCGTGAAGCGCTGCGGTAAAGCTGCGCGGTACTGTTTGGCTCTTGAGTGATGCGAATTAGCGGATCGGCTGCACCACCGCAGGGTCGCTGGTCATTATCGTCGGGGTGAACTACGCTCAGCGGAGGCCTCGGGCCCATCGTTACTTAAAGTATCGCACTGGGTAGCGCGTTCGATGCGATGAAGTGCGCTGTGTGTGGGACTCGAACCCGAAGTCTCTCTGCAATGAGATCGGCACTCTTCCTTTTCAACTTACTCTACCCCGCTTGTCCATGATCCACTTCACGTCGTCACCTAAGCACGCTGGATGTGCGACCTAGTTGTTCTCGCTGTGTGCGACAAGAGTTGCGTGATGCGTGGTGCGAAACTCGTTTTCCGCGTGGAAAGGTGGAAAGGTATGGAGAGGTATATAAAAGCGGTGGTTTGATTTGGTTGGAATTAGCACATGATATAGGTGTACGTGCAGTACTAAACAGGAACAATCACCAAAGGCGTCAAGATATATTGTGAGCGACGGCTGGAAAGTAAACCAGAGTTTCCGCTACATAAGCTTCCCTGTCCGAGGGTTTTTTTAGTGGAGTTTTCAGGCCTTCGTCCGGTATGAGGCTGGTCATTGATTTGCAAAGGATCGGTCTGTTGTCCTGATACTCTGAAAGTTCATTCATGGAGTGCTGATGGAGCTTGAGATTCGAAGCGTCCGTTTTCGACACTTGTTTTTAATATGCTATGATAATTGCGTTTACCGCACTTTTTCCATAAGGTACTTGCATAACACCAATTCTTGAGACAATTGCGAAATCGAGTGGCCGCGCAGTTGCTCGCAGCGGAACTAAAATGTAGGTCACGTGCGATGCCACTTCAGAAAAGCAAAAATGAGTCGATTAATGAATAGGAAAAGGTAATGATTTTGGTGAGGCCTATGAACGAAGCAAATAATTACGCGTGCCTTAGATAGGGAGTGCGATATGGTGACCTGCAGGATGATGCAGTCTTTAACGCGGCTGGAAGCATGTGCTGGTTTCCACGTTACTTTGTCGTGCGACGCGTGCCTATGTCGATTAACTATGTGGCGGCGGACGGGCGACTGTGAGGCTGTGACCCAGCTGCACCACTCAGCAGTGTCGCTCGGAGGGCCGGTCGGGGCCGGCGAGCGAGGAGCTGGCAAACGGCGGCGCTGCATCAGCAACCGCAATCATCCGTCGGACTCCAGAGGCCCTGGAGCCCAGCCGGCGGAGCGGGTAGCGCTCAGAGGCCGCCGAACACGAGAGGCCCCGGAGCTCAGCCGGCGGGGCGAGACGCGATGAGAGGCCCCGGAGCTCAGCCGGCGGAGCGGGGTGCGCTCAGAGGCCACTGGACGGAGAGGCCCCCGGAGCTCAGGCGGTGGGGCGGGACGCGGTCAGAGGCCGCCGAACACGAGAGGCCCCGGAGCTCAGCCGGCGGGGCGGGACGCGGTCAGAGGCCGCCGAACACTAGAGGCCCCGGAGCTCAACCGGCGGGGCGGGACGCGGTCAGACGCCGCCGAACGCGAGAGGCCCCGGAGCTGAGCCGGCGGGGCGGAACGCGGTCAGAGGCCCCCGAGCGCGAGACGGCCCGGAGCTCAGCCGGCGGGGCGGGGTGCGCTCAGAGGCCGCTGGACGGAGAGGCCCAGGAGCCCAGCGGTAGGGCGGAACGCAGTCAGACGCCTCCGAACGCGAGAGGCGCCGGAGCTGAGCCGGCGGGGCGGCACGCCGTCAGAGGCCGCTGGACGGGGAGGCCCTGAAACTCAGCCGGCGTGGCGGGGGCGCGCTCAGACGCCGCGTCCTGCGGCGCGACTCCGGCCGTCCGCGCGTGCTGGTCTGGGGAGGATGCGAGAGGGCACGGCAGCGAAACAGCGTACGCCGCCGACGGCTGCGACGGACGGCCCGCCGGCTGGATGAGCGGCCGCCCACCGACGGCCGGCCGGGAAGCGACGCCGGATGAGATGCGGTCACGTTTCCGCCCGCTCGTGGCGACATCCCGCCGGGAGACGGCCGGGATTGGGCCGGGCCGAACCTGGAGCCGCTCATTTGATTAGGCGGCGCTGGTCGCGCCCGGCAGAGATTGGCTGCCCGGTTACGGCCGGCTGGGGCGCTTGGGCGTCACTCGATTCCTCGAAGCGGTGGCCGTTGCAGAAGTTTTACGGGTGTTGCCGGGGATACGCGCACCGGTGAAGCCAGGTAGACGTTGGTAATGTCCTTGTGTGCCTTCTTGAGAGCTGGCTTGAGATTTAATATCATCTCTGTGATGTGCTGGGTATTGAGCGGTGGATTGTGGTTTCCGTTACGAAGACGGGCTCTTGGCCATGCGTTTGTATGCCTGGTTGGCTGTCACTGTGGGTACACAAATATCGCCTCCTTGATTCGCTGGAGGCGCAGCGGGCTCTGGCCAAGTGGTCCCGAGTCGTCGAGTATTGAAGGAAGCGCCGTCTTCCCATCTTGCCGTCGGTATGCAGTGAGTTGTGACCATGTGAATGCTTCCACACGATGTTGTTGCGGAGCGCCGTCGCCACGAGTGTGTGCTGGGTGGTGGGTACTGGTGGGCAGACCGCCGGCGGTGCTGCCGGAGACGCCTACCCAGCCGCGGCCGATGGAGGGTGGCGTACTCTGAATAGCTATAGAGGTGCTGATAGGAGCGGATACCAACACGTATCAACGTAGATTGGGTGTGTGACTGGAATCGTTGCTCCCTGTGAGGATATATGGTGTCATTTCGAACCGGTGAGCACAACACGAATGCGTATTTGAAGCACGCTTCGTTGAGAAAACATTCCACTGCGCTCGGCGGACGGGCTGTGGGCGTTTCTACACGAAATGTTCGTGTCGTCGAAGTGTCATTTGGACGGAATAATGGAAAACACCGAAATGTATCGCCTGTCGCGACAAACACTTGAATGCAGTCGCCTGTCGCTACGCACAGGTCAGCTTGTGTGCCGGCGGGGCACAGCGCGCCGTGTCGTTATCACGCACGCGCATATCTTCGCGATTCCGACAGATATATAACGGCTTCAGGTATCTAGAAAAGGTGAAAGTGCTTGGAACACCGACGGTAACGTGTCCGGAAACAGACTGCTTCCACAGACGCCCTGCGCGGGCGAAGGCGAGTCGGCCGGGTGGGATTGGGGTTGCTGGCAGCGTCATTGATCGCGCTCCTCTGTCGGCGGTCAGCAGACCCGTTCCCATCTGATTGGTGGCCCGCGACCGGCGGCAGCGGCGCTTGATGACTGACCCGCTCCTGGGAGGCAGGGGTGGGCGAGATGGGATATGGAATTGGCGAGATGGTATATGAGCTCGGTTAGGGTCGGGGGAAGGAGGATAACAACGGTCTCGGATGTTAGCGACGTTGCGGTTGTGACGCAGTGGCGCAGCGGCGCCGCGACTCCGACAAGTGACACGTCTGACAGGCGACGCGCTTGTAGACGCGTGTCGGCCCGGCCCCCGCGACTGGCCGGCGCTGTGGCTCTGTTGCCGACCGCGTGACCCGAGAAGAACGCCACGGACCGCCGCCCCCGCCCGGCTGCGAGCCGTGCCGTCCGGCCGCGCGCCGCCGGCCGCCGAGCGAGCGGCTGGTCCGGCGCGATCTCCGGCGTCGGCGGCGATGACGCGACGGCGACGGCAGCTCGCGCCGTCGGTTGACGCTGATGGGTGGCCCCGCGGGAGCGCGCGGGTCCGCAACGCCGCCGGCCGCGGCCGTGGGGAGAGATGACGCCTGTCATCGCTGGGATGATGCGCAGGAGCGGCGCTGTAGCGGGCGTGGTTGTGTTGCCGGTGCCGGTCGGTGGCTGGGGGGGGGGGGGGGGATGTCTGTTAACCGTTGCGCGAAGAAGCCGGGTGGATGGATGGAATGAGGTGATTTGTATAATTGGGTGGTAATCGAGTCATCCTTACATCGAGAACCTGGTATCAGTTTGGCCACTTTGCATGCAAATAGACCGCATTTTTAATTTGACAGGCCCGGACCAGACAGCTTTATAGTAAGGTGGATAACGATTTGTTGTCTTCACTGTCTTTTTCTGTATTAACTCACGGCTTGAAGTCGCGTAGAGCAGTATTTTGAAATGGTATAAACGAGTGATGCACCTAAAATGATACAGAACCAGACTAACAAAGCGGCAAAGCGTATGGATAACGTTGCCGATGCTTCCGAGTTTTCTTCTGCCAAACGTTGCCGCTGTTCTCGAGATGGCCCAGGGGACTACGCCTCCAGCACGTGGCCGTCGAGATGTCACCGACTGTGTGGTGCCATGCCATGCACTGCAGCACGTGCCGCTCACAGCACCTCCGCCTTGCAGAGGCGCCAACCATGCTGGCGGTGAACGCCGACGTCAACATGGCGTACGACATCTGCGAGCACAACGCCGCGCTGGAGTACATCGAGACGCAGATGGCGCTGCGGGGCATCACGCAGGAGCTGATCGGTCAGTGGACAGCCGGGGCTCGTCTGCTCGGTCAGTGGGCAGCCGGGGCGCGTCTGCTCGGCCAGTGGGCAGCCGGGACGCGTCTGCTCGACAGGAGCTGATCGGTTAGTGGGCAGCCGGGGCGCGTCTGCTCGACAGGAGCTGATCGGTCAGTGGGCAGCCGGGGCGCGTCTGCTCGGCAGGAGCTGATCGGGCAGTGGGCAGCCAGGGCGCGTGCTTGGCGGGAGCTGATGGGTCAGGGGGCCGCTGGGACGTGTCTGCTCGGCCAGTGGGCCGCCGGGACGTGACTGCTCGGTCAGTGGGCCACCGGGGCGCGTCTGCTCGGCAGGGCTGTTTGTCCACCGCAGATCGCTTCGGAGGGCGCTCGTGGGGGGGGGGGGGGGCATTGTGGGCTGTCCGGCGGGATTTTGTTTAGGCGTCAGACAGAGCAAAACAATACTAGCCATGTTTGGGGCGGCATCACAGCACCACCCCATCTGGGTGCGCAAGAGCAACGGCGGATTCAAGCGGAAGCCACGAAGCTGATGAAATTCACCTGATAAGTAATCCTGATCGATGCCGGCCCGACATTCTGCCGCCGAGGGTCTGGTCGGCACCAGGGCTACCTCCGTTTTTTCCTCCATCACGGAAGTGGCCCGTGTTTGACTTGTCTCGAGTTCGACAACGCCGCCATCACCAGCGAATTGGTCGCATCTTGCACGTTAGAACCGAAGCCTGGCCTGCCCGCCTCCGACGCGCCTCCTCCGGCGTGCCCCCCCGCGTGCCGGCCCGCCCGTGCCCGTCTGAGCCCCGATCCGGCCGTCCCGTCCCGTCCCGTCCGTCCCGTCCCGTCCCGTCCCGTCCCGTCCCGTCCCGTCCCGTCCCCGTCGCTCTGTTGTCGTGTGGCGGCCGCGCGCTGTACTGCGATGTCAGTCTTACCGGGAAGCGTGGCCCGCCCTGCGGCAGAGCGGACACTCGCGGCTGCCCTCGCCATCTGGCCGGCTGTATGACCGCCAGCTACTGACACGTGAGGCAGCGGATTTGCGGTGTTACCTGATGGTGCGGCCGTCCGCCGTGTATCCGATGTTCGCCGCCGTTGTGCGGACTCTACCTCGGTGTTACCGCTGTGCGAACAAAACCTCGGTTACCGCTGAGCAAGCTCGGTCTCGGTGTTACTGTGCGAACTCGGCCCGTTGTTACCCTGCCCGAACTTACCGCTGCACGAACTCGGCCACGGTGTTATCACCCGCTGTGCTGCTGTGCTGTCCAGCGTGTCATGTCGTGTCCCGTGTGACAGTGCAGCGCTGGCAGCCGTGCGGCACCTGCCCGCGATGCTGTTTGCTGTGCCACTGCCGTGGCGGCAGTCCGCTGCGCCACCATCCGATACGCGCTGTGCTGATGTTCTGCTATCAAACTGGTCCGCGGAGATGCGTTGCTGTCCTCTGTGTCGATGTGTCACGGCCGAAGCGCCGCTGTCAGCCGCCGGGTGTGCTGCTGTCAATCTGTGCTGCTCGTCAGGCTGTGCCAGTGTGTCGGTGTCGATTTGCCGATGAGCTGCTGTCAGCGGCGGCGTGTTTCTCCGCTCAATGTGCCGGTTGCCGCCGCGCTCACGGTCTCACCACCGACGGCGCAGCTCGTCAGAATGGTAACGAGGCTCGGCTGGCCGCCAGCAGCGGCTCGTCAGGGGTGAGGTCTGCGGACCAGAGGCGTGCGCCCTTAGCGTGGCGGAGCGGCGAAGACGGCGACTGGAGCCGCGATATAGCGCCCCATTGTTTCCGGGCTGGCAGTTGCCGGTGATCTGTCGGAGACCGTTTGCGTGGTGGTGGCGATAACGACAACGACGTGTTTGCGGTCTGTTCGGAGATTTGGGGACAAAACGACGTCGTCGAGTCATTTGTGGTGAAATACGTCATTGTGACAAAGGTCACCTTCAAATGAGCTCCTCGTCCTTCATGTTAAGCTTTGCTTCACCGACAAATCCGAACGCGTCCCCATGGCGTTTGGCATAGATCCCTTTTCGTCCAGCACTCCTGCGTGGCGTGTCTCAGTTCCACGACGAGAGGACTCGCCACGACGGGCTGCGGCTGCGTTAGGCATGTTTGATGTCGGGCCGCGGAGGCCAGACTATGTGTTTGGGGGGCGGGGGAGGTTATGACGACACGAACACCGCAGCGTTCTGCTCGTTCGGCGTTGTGGGGACTCCGTCACCTTTTGACGCAGCACGTCTGCGCGCACAAACACTGCGTCGGAAGGACCGTCGATCGCCAGGGCGCGACCGCTGGCGGGTGATCGCCCCGCGCCGCCGCTCACTGACGCCCCCCCCCGCGCCCCCAGAGACGACGCGCGGCGAGCTGGAGGCGGAGATGCTGGCCGACCTGCGGCAGCGGCCGCCGGACCGGCTGGAGGAGCGCGTCCAGCAGCACGCCACGCCGGTCAGTGGTCCCACCCCCCCTCCCACCCACCTCTCCCTCCGACGCTGCGGAGGGGCGGCGTCTGGTGTCGCCGGGGTGGTGACTGGGAGCGGACTGTCTGCGAGAGCTGAAGCAGCTCACCGGTCTACGGCCCCCTCCCCCTCATCCCCGCCGAGCTGGGCGGGCCACCTCTCCGCCTTACCAAAAACCTAATAAACCTTACGGGGACTGGGGGCTAATTGAACCAAGACGGTGAAGGATTGGAGTTATATTGACTTGTACTTTTTTCTCACTTTGCATTCTCTTTTCAGCATTGGTTGTTGTTTTCAATTGTTCTCATTTTATTTGCGTTATTCGCGTAGGTTTTGAACGCGTATATTCCCGCCGTGTTTGCCATGGCCGCCGGCGGCGGCTGTGGGCCGCGCGGCTAACGGCGCCCTGCTGCCGGCAGCTGCACGTGGCAGCGGCTAACGGCTACCTGTCGGTGGTGGAGTTCCTGCTGGAGAGCCAGGTGTCGGTGGGGCCGCGCGACAGGGACGACTGGCAGCCGATTCATGCCGCCGCCTGCTGGGGGCACGTGAGTCGGCGCACCGGGGGGGGGGGGGGCCGCAGCCTCAGCCGGGGAGGAATCGGACAGCCCGGCTCCGGGACACGGGATCAACTGGATAGTGAAGACGAGAGGAGAACGGGACACGCGAGAAATCGGGGTGGGAACTGAATGATGGGAAACGGGAAAGACCAAATGGATGTGGGGGGGGGGGGGGGGAGGGGGCCCGGGATGTACCAGTCATAGGGCCGTGGGGACACGGCGGGAGCTGGCCACTGGGCACAATGGACATGTGACGAACGGGACGGTGGGTACAGTCGTGAAAGGGCGGAGAAGGTCACGAGCATCGTCTGAAGTGGGGAAGCACGTGAGACAGGCAGTGTAGACTAGCGTGCCGTCTTATCGTTCGGCATGATTGTTGACGTCAGTTGTTATTTCTTACGTAGATCAGTATCTAAAAACTTTTGAGTGCATCCTGCCGAGCCAGACTGGTCATCGCCTGGTAGGCTTTGATTCGGCGTTCGGCGCGCGTCTGCCCCCGCGTCCGTCCGCGGGCGGCCTCTGTAGCCGCCGGCAGACGCGGACCGTGGCGGCCGACCCCCACGGGCAGCGTGCGTGTTGGCGTGTGCGCCGCTGCCCCCGCCGCAGCGCGCTGACGCCGTGCCGTTGCAGCCGCGCGTGGTCGAGCTGCTGTACGAGCACGGAGCCGACCTCACCGCCAAGACCAAGAACGGCGAGACGGCTTTCGGTTAGTTGGGCTGGGCTCGCCGCGGCCGCCGTCTCGCTCGGCGGGCTGGGGCCGGGCGTCGTGTGTTGATGTGTATGTGGCTATTGATTGGCGTGCCTCAAGATTGTCTGCCGTGGCCGTCATCGGCGCCGCAGTTGCGAGCGCGTTGCATTGCGTCAGGACTGCTGTGTATGTGTCTCTGCGCGAGGCTGCGAAGGTTGAGGGCTGTTTGGAAGGCGGTATCCGTCTTGTTGGTTTTAAACGTAACTTATCTTAGCGAGTGTCGGCTTGTCCGAACAATGCCGATCCTCTTGACGTAGCACAACGTGTGGGCCATGTGACATACTGGTGCAATTCTCCATCCTTTTGGGATTGTTGTCCAACGTGAATGTAACGTGCATTGCTTTTGGTAGCGGGACTTCAGCAGGACCTTCACAAAACCGGGGCAAAGACCCCTTTCATCAGCGCGTGCTGGCAAAAAGTACGCGGGCTTCTAGCCCAATAGCTTCGAAGGGTTTCGTCGCTTGGTTGGTCGGCCCGAGTTGGCTTGTTTGCAACGGTGAGCTGGCAACGGCTGTACGCTTACCTGCAAGTTATGGATTGATCCACACACTATTCTTGCATCTGTGGACCTGCCGTCCGAAGAGAATTGGCTAAGCACTGTACGAACATCTACGGAAAGTCGCCGCGCTCACTGGCGGTGAAATGCCCGTCGGAAGCGGGAGGGGTGGGGCACTGCTGCGGGAACGATACGAGTACCTATTAAGAGATCGAATCCTTTTGACGACCTCATCGGGGGCATCGTGCTTCGCCTCCCCAACGCCCCGCCGTCCATGTCTGCAGCACGACGTGCGGTCTCCCTGCCGCGGAGATTTGTGCGCGCCCCTTGACACAGGAAGCCGCCCGTCGCTCCGCGCGACTGCGCCACTGAGCCGGCTGACGTCATTGCCGGCGCTACGCTGCCATGCGTGGTGTGTGACGTCATGGCCGCTGGCTGGCGCACGTCCGTCGGCTGTCGCTCCATCACGTGTCCCGTCACGCTGCGATGAGCGGCACTCCCTGCAGCCGCCCGTCGCGGCTGTTGTGAGCTGGGGAATCTTGTTCTGGCAGTAATCGATCTTCAGTATACGGGGGATGCCGGCTAGTCGACGTTATCAAGAAAGCATAGGGGAATTTTCGTTCGCTTAAGTTTTGTCAATGTAGCTAATGCTTTCTTGATAACGTCGCTTAGCCAGCGTCTCTTGGAATATGACAGATCGATCGTTGTCAGAATATGATCTTTCAACTCACAATGCCGAAAAACTGGGGGCTCAAGACCTTTCTACCTAATTAGAGACGATGACAAATTGTCTTCCCAGAGCCCAGATCCAAGATCCGTGGCCGTGTGTGAACCCGCGTTCCGCCATCAGACGTGTGCGCTTATCCCAGATCCGTGGCCGTGTCTGACCCGGCGCCCCGCCATCAGACGTATGCGAGGACCCCGAGATTCGGGAGCGGCTGGAGCAGCTGAGGACCGAGCAGGAGCTGCGTCGCTCCACGGACGCGCAGCTGGCGCGCGTGCGCCGCACCCAGTCGACCAAGCACTCGATCCGGCGCACCTCCATGCGCCAGAAGACGCTGACGCCGAAGAAGGACGTCAAGGAGGAGGCCCGCATCCGGCTGGGCGTGGAGGGCTCCCTGGTAAGGCGGCCCGCTGGCGCCGGGGGATGTGTTTGCATGTGTCGTTGTGGGATGCGTGATGTGCCGTTGCAATCTTAGGGCCGCGGCCTCTCGCGATGGTTTTGGTAGGCTGGGACGGTGGGTCTGGGGAGGCTCTCACTACTGGGCGAGATCCGAGCTCGGGTTCGGCTTCGGACTCAGACGCCCCGCATCTACATGCGCCTCACTGCGGGCACTCGCCGCGCCGTCTCAGCGTCACTGCATTTCCGTCAGTATCTCGATGCCCCGCTCAAAGCCGTCGTCGGCGAGTTACTGCGGGCTTGTCTTTTGTAGCCGGGTTATGGCAGGCTCGCCTGTTGTCGCGGTGTGATTTCGTTCGTTATTACGACCCATGGCTCCGGCCGGGCGGGCCCGCCGGAGGTGATTTGGAGCGGGCGCCGCCCTGCTGACTCCGCCCGCCCGCGCTCTGCAGCAGTCGGCGCTGGGCGACTCGAACCGCTCCCTGGATTCGGGTCTGCTCGACCTACAGGACATCACCATCCAGATTCCGGACCGACTGGGCGGCAACAGGTGAGCTCATCTCGCCTGTCACCGACGAGCCGAGCTACTGTTTTGTTTTTTATTTGTCAAGGTGGAACTTTGCACGATGGTAAAGGCGATCGTGGTTTTGCAGACGAAAACGAAAATTAAAACGTGTCAGGTAGGGGGCTGCTACCACCTTTTCTTTATTCGGCTGAAATATGTGTGACAAAAGCGTACATGGCGCTCAGAATAGGAGCCCGAATATAGATTGTTGCCCAACGGGTGGTATCTATATATAGTATGAAATTGCTGGGACCACTGCCAAATGGCCCATCCTCAGTCGTCACCGACAGCTCCTCACTCTGAACGTTCTCATAAAGGCGGCTCTCGCTTGCTCTGCTCACGCAGACTGCTCCCACGCCGACGGCCGTCTCGCCGCGGCCGCTCGGACCTCGCGCTCAGACTCCTGTCTGCTGACGCCCTTCAGACTGCCCCCCCCCCTGCGCTCTGAGCTGCCCCCTCCCCCTGAGCCGTGCCCACCCCGGGCCGGGCGCGCTGGCGGAGATAACCGGCGCCGGCCGCCGCCGCGTCCGCCCATTGGAGCCCGGGCCGCTGTCCGCGGTCGGCCGACCAGAATGTTCCAATTATGCAGTCGGCACGGAAGCTGAATGGCTGACGCCGGCGGCGGCGGCGGCCGGGGTCGGCCCCGATCCGCGCTCGGTGTCTGGGCTGATGAACGGGCCGGGAGACGGAGAGAGAGGGAGGGGGAGGGCGGGGTCTCGCCCGCTGAATAGAAGACGGTCTCGAGTGGAGAGACGGGCCCGCGGCGACGCAGCGCGCACCAACGGCGCGGCCGAACTGACGGTCTTTGCTCGGGGCCCGAGCTCTGTGTGAGAGGAGGGGGAGGGGGTCAGAGGTGCATTGTTGGTCGCGTCCGCGGCGGGTGCCTTCCCTTCGCCCGGCGGTGTCCGGGGTGCGGTCTCCCGGCCGCCTCCGGGGTCGCCGGGCGACGGGCGGTGAGAGGCGGGCAGCTGGGTCGGTGCGGACGTGGTGTGACGCTCGGCCGTGCCGCCAGGACGGCGGAGAACGGCGGCGTCACCGTGTCGGACGGCAAGACCAACGGCCACCAGGTCAACAACAACGACCAGCCGCCCAGCGACGGCAAGAAGCGCTGTGAGTGTGCCGACCGGTCTGTTGCCGCCGCGAGGATGTGGTGACGGCAATGTGGGGAGGGGCAGGGGCGCTGCGACCAGCGGTCATTTGACGCACAGCACCCGCCTGGGGACGCTGGACCGTTCTTTTGGGGAAGGGGGTCCGTTTGTTCGGACTCGCGCGGTTTGGTGCGGTTGGACGTCCCAGGTCAGTCTCGGTAATCGTCCGAGGTCCATCGCATTGATCATGGGTACTGGGCATCCCATCGCTAATAACCCTTGAGACGTTTGGGGCGCTAATGGCCTCGGCCCGTGCGTTTCACTGGCCCGAATTGACATGTGCCAGTGTGTGGTGCACTGTTTGGCGGCTGCGGCTGCGGCTGCGGCTGCGGCTGCGGCGGCGGCGGCGGCGGCGGCGGTGGGAAGCTGAACAGGATCTTGAGCGGGCACGCATCCTGATGACAGGGTCGCCTGGTGGGAGCTTTGGTCCCGGGCAGAGCGCATGTGGCATAGATCAACGCATGCCACCCGGCCAATGCCTTGCATGTCTGTGATGGCTGGGCGCTGTACCCACGGTGCTGTCACCCTCGGTTTATCATGAATCGAGCTGCATTATCGTGGCTGTCGATGCACCTAACGGCTCAAACAATGAAACATAATGACTCAGCGGTAATGAGACGCAGCGCCTGCGCATTTGCCTTGCTTGTGGCTACGCGAATTGTGGGCTCCGCGGCCACATATGTCTAAGACGTGTATTGCCTCAGCTCAGTGGCCATGGGTCTATGTGTTACCATATTTTCGTTGGTACGCATGCGTAACTGTGTAGTTGACGATTGAGGAACGTTGGCTTTGTTTGTACGGACGCATATCGACGCTTACAGTTGTTTTCCGCCTTCTTTGTTTGTCTGGCGTGCTGGCGGCCGCTGGTGAGCGGGCCGGCCGAGCGTCGCTGCCTGGCTGGTGTCGTCGTGAGCTCGGCCCCTCTCGTTCCATGTGCCGTGTAGCGCTAGACAGCGGCTCGTCGCTCGACTCCAGTAAGATCGACATCCACGTGCACGTGACGGTGAACACGGGCGGCCCCGAGCGGCCGCCGCCGTACTCTGCCGAGCCGCCGCCGCCGCCGCCCCGGCACGCTTGCCGACCTGAAGAAGCAGCGCGCCGAGACGCGGCCGGCACTGACCGCGGCCGGCGCGCCGGCGCCGCTTCCGCCAGGCGACCCGGTCGCGCCGCGCGCCGACGTCGGCGAGGCGGCGCCCGACGGCGGCCGGCTTCGCTTCGTCAGCGCCGAGCCCGGCGGCGGCGTGACGTCCGAGCCGCCGCAGGAGAGCGGCGGCTGCTGCCGGCTGCAGTAGCGACACCCGGCGGCCGGCCGACGAAGCGCGAGCGGCGCGCGGACGCTGCGCGGCGACGCGACGCCGCTGTTGGAGGGGTGGTTTTGTATCGCGTGTTTATGGGGCGAGCCCGATGCAGTTTTGTAGGGATATGGCTGCCCGATGATGACGTATCGTGGCAGAAACGTAACTGTTATCGCCTTGAATGCAGTGCATTCATGCGTGGTCGGCTGCTGGTATGTTTTGGAAACATTTAGCGACGTCTCCGTTTCCTCCGTGCCCGATTATGAAGACACGACATGGTCAAGATGAGGTGCTACGTTGCGTAGATTTTGCTTGCCAGATGTTTAGGCTATACTGGAGCCAATTGAGTGATACCAGCCAAACGCTTTAGAGCTTAAGAGTCGTTCTCTCGCGGTGTTTCGCGGTTACGATAATGACGCGTGATCTTGTATTGTTTTAATTGTGACCACGTGACATGCCATTCCAGCCCGCATTCTGCCCCCTGTTGGGTGAGCTGAACCCATGCATTTCATGTATGTGAGCCGCGTAGGCAGGTATTTATGATCTCGGTCTGGAAGGCTTTATATTGGCGCTTGTAGATGATGCGGTCGGCTTGCTTCGCCACTGGGGTTTTGCGGGTTCCGCTGCGTCCGTGGCGCACCTTCCTATAGTTTGGCGCTTTTGGGCGCGGCGTCTGGCGTGTATGGCTTGGCGCCGTCACCAGTAGAGGGTGGAAGTGGGCAGTCGTGACAAGGGCTGCTGGCGGCACTGTGGGTCTAGCAGTGGTGATTTAATGGGACCTCTCGCGGTAATCACATATTCCTCTGGTTGTTCAATACTGCTGTGTGTGGAGGCAGCGTTGAGCCTCAGTATCAGGGGTATTTCAGCATCCTGCCATCAAGGCACTCGTGTTTGTGAAACCGATTTGTCGCAGGATGTGAATTTGCTCCAAGCTCTCGCTCCGTTGTTTGCTTATCAATCGAGGGAGGGACAGGGAAGGGGGCACTCATGCGGTGCGGTGCGCACATGTGCGCGGGTGAGGTAATGAGATCGCACCATTACCGGATTTGCCGCGTCACTGGAGCTCATTAGGGTCATTCCCCGTCTGAAGTCGTTTTAAACAAAAAAAAAATAAAAACAACCTACTTACCCCGTTCAAAGCGCCGTCAAAACAGGGAGAAGTAACCGCTCGGCTCTTGTTCAGTCTCCGTGCGTTAAGTCGTCGCCCTGCCAGCGTGATGACGTCATCTCGGGATGACACCCAGAGGTGGCCGCAGCGATCGCGCCGGCCGCGGCCGGGTGCTGGACCAGACCCGCGGCGGTCCCGGTGAGGACCGGTCCGGCGCTGGACGTCGATGCTGCTCCGGGGACAGAACGCTGCCACCAGTCACTACGCGCGTGATGACGACGGCGTGGGGGGAGCGCGCGCCGTTGGCTTGAGGCTCGGCGCGGATTTGCGGCCATGCGCTCGCTGTGTCCCGCGCGTGAGAACCGTGCGCTCGATGCGATAAAGGCGTCTGCTGCAGTTCTGTGATTCGTCGATGACGGTCGTCACTCGTGCGCACTTCTTAACGCGCACTTGCCTGTCTTGTGCGTCGGGTCTGCCGTGACATGCGGGCTGCACAGCTTGTTGGTTTTGTTTGAGTCACCGGCTAAGCGCAATGTGTTACTGCCAGCCTTTCACGACAAGTGGTGTCAACGTCTTCTATTCGCCCACATGTGCGCGCTCGTGGTGGGCAACTATATCTTTGACTATCGTTACTCTCTCTGCGGGTCATTTTCCTTCTGTCGCATTCTCTGCGGTGCCTCCCCGCTCTGCCTCGCGCAATGAGGGCAGATAACCATGCCGTGCAAATGAGCATCATATTTCATACAGGGCAAGTAATCTTCCGATCCATGACGGTCCTTGATCCGGCTTGAGGTTTGCGTTTCGTGACGCGTATTTTGTACAATAAAGATGAGGTGACCGACTTGGTGTGTGGACTTTGTTGTGCCTTCTGTCAAGGGGACCAGAAGGTCTCTGGATGAACACGCCACTTGGAACTTGTGGTAGTCTTGTTGATAAAACATCACTTCAGATGTTGGTCGGGGGAGGGGGAGGGGACAGCATTCAGTGATATATCCAGCAGTGTGCAGGATGTAAAATATATATTCATCCTACCAGTATCCTGGTTTCCCGGCGGCCTCGCGCGATTCGTTGTCGCTGGTCCGTTGCCCTTTGACCCCGAACCCTGACATCTGATCTGCTCGGCTCATGTGTCAATCCTGAGACACTTAGATGCTCAGTTGACCGCCGTCCGGCTCGTTGATGGCGCCGATTTGGAGCGGTGGAAGGTCAACGGGCAGTGGACCTCGAGCCAGGGTGTGGCGGCATGAAAAATCGACTCCTGGCACCCCCGTGACCGCATAATGAAGCGCCGGAGGGGGAGGCCTGCTGCTGTAAGCCCACCCCGACAACAATCGCTACACCTCTGGGTCCGAAGGTCGTACACAGTGGTGGTGGCACCAGGCGTCGAATCTTCCAGGGTGATTATTCCGCTTACAGTCACGAGAAAAGTGGCAGCGGAAAGTAATCTGGAGAAACGTTCTGAGCAAACTATACGTGCCGATTGGCCGAGAAACGTGCCGATTGGCTGAAAGGGAAAGAGAGCAGCTCTGTCTCTTGTGCTGTCTTGAGCACTATCT